ATGAGACTGCAAGCTCATCTCTTTCATAACACGTCAGAAAATGTTGCAATCTGCTGAGTTTTGAAAGCACAAGCTCAAGATTACCTCCAAAGCCCTTTTGTTTCAGTTCCTCTCCTCGAATTATAGTCGGAGTGATACCCAAGGCATTTCCCACTGTCTTGATTTCCTGCAGAATATGACATCATTTACATACACACAGAGCTTGACATTAACTTTTTTGATCACCGGCCACTGCGGCTAGTAGTTTTCCAACGTTACTAGCCACTCTGCATTTTCACTAGCCATAATTTTGTTGTTGGGAAAATATATTTTTTATGCATAAATTTGACTTTGACATGCTAAAATACTTGATTTAAATTGAGCAAATCCATTAGCAAATGGGTCATTGGTTTCATAGTGTTAAATTGCAATTATTTTTGACATTTCACATGACTTTTCAGAGCTCAAAATTAAGGATTTACCAAATTTATGACTGACCACACCAAACAATAATTATTTTCTAGCCACAAATTTTAAATGCGTCAAAACAAGCAAAATACAGCTGCATACTACTTTTTATTAAACAGAATTAAAAAATTTTTTAAAACAATGAAAAACAATTGACTTTAAAAAAAAAAAATAAAAATTATTGTCTACTATCTAAAACTATACCAAAGGTCTCTCGGATCACCAGTTAACTACACATAAATAGAGAGTTAAAAAAAAAAGATAATTAAACCCTATTAACAAAATCAAAAGCAAATAAACCTCAAATAAACCTTTCAGATGAAAGACATACCGTGTGCAATAATGAAAAGATGATCACATGCACTCGGTTAAGGCCAGTTAATAATCTGTTCAAAGTGAAAGCAACCAGTGCTGCTTACAAAAAGACAAATTTGGAGCTCTTGAAAGCAGCAGGACTGAGGGTGCATGTTCATCACTTTTTGTCTATTTGAAAGAGAACCGATCACAGTTGCGTTTCCAGATATAGTTACTTCACGAAAGGAAACGGGAGCGCGCAGGCGCTTTAAGAAGTCGTGCATCACATCAGCTGTTAGCGCGAGTGATCATCCTTGCTTCTGCTCGCGCGAACACAATTATTTTTGTCAGTCATGCTGCTTCTTCATTCTAAGATCACATTTGCACGCATATTGGGTCATCCTTATTGTTGAACCCTGCTTTTAAGAAAACTACCATTTAAAATTATTTTCAACCAGCCAAAGTGGCTAGTGGGATTGTCTGTCTAACCCGCCAAAGCTGAAATCTACCTGCATTTGGCGGGTGTTAATGTCAAGCCCTGCATACACAAATATATAGACATACAGTCATACATATTATCAATAGGAATGTCCATTTCAGTAAGTTCTTTGTACAGCATTGTAAAAGTAAACTAACTACAAGAATTTTAAATGCTAAATAATAAGCTCAATGTTTAAATCTCTCAAAACAATGATAACAGACTTTACAAAAAATCTCAATACAATGCTTATGCAAACAATAAACAGCTAATGAGCATTTGCATTCAATTTTAGCGCTGCTTGTTTGAAGTGCATGACCTATTTATCAGGTCTAACAAAAGGTACACACAAAAAAGTGCTCCACACTGTTTATAAATAACCATTTAAATAGGAATGGTTACTGCGCCCTAAGCATCCCGATTATTTTATACTGCATTATAAAATGAAGCTATTGTGCATGGTGGAACAAAAGACAGATGCATAAAAAAAAAGTACCTCCAGGAAGTCATCAGTGTTCATCTCGCTGCATGGAGTGTCCACGATTCGAGCAGCCAGACGAACTCCATCCGCTGCATTAGCAAGACACTGTTAAACGAACAGAGGGACACACATACATTAATAAACTAGTAATAAAAGTTTGAACCAGCTTAATCCTAATCATATGTAGTGTGCTCTATTCAGGTGAGTGGGTTTGACAAACCACCTGTAGAAGACACTCTTTCCTCTCTTATGCACCAGGCACTTTGTTAGAAATACTTGTTTGTTAGTATAGTTAAGCTTTTTATAGCTTTCTATTTTCTATAGATATATTGTCCAGATCTAAATAACATTATTTTCTATGGCTATAACTTCTAAATCTAAAATGGCCAGTTTTTTACTAATTATAATCCATTAGATTCTTCATTCACACATCCTTTGTTTTTTTTTTAAGGTCATGGGTTGTTGTAATAAATTTGTCAAATACACAATGCTATATGTAGTGAAATCTTGAGTCCATGTAATCAAGAAGAATCTCGAAACACCTTAGTCCATTCTAATTCACATACTTGTGCATTAATATATTTCCAACTATAAATATTGAAAGTAATGTGTTCTTACTGAAAATCCCCCACCTCACCCCTGAAATCAGGCACTCTAAATACCCGGGTTTTACACTTATTTATCCAAAAAAGCAAAGTATGGAACGTTGAGACTTTCAGACTCAGATGTTGATGGGCTAAATAACCATATAAAGTTAATATTTAGGGAAGTTGAGTGCATAGTGCAGATATTAGAAGCCTAAAGCAGCATTTCTCAATCAGATCAATTTGTTTTTCATAATAATTTGTTTATGTGATACATATATTACACACTACCTGACAAAAGTCTTGTCACCAATCCATGTTTTAGGAACAAAATAATAATTTGATTTCAAGCTGACAACTTGGTATCAAAAGTGGCTAATGAGAAAGGCAAAGGCCTCTAGATTACGCTTATTTTACCAAAATAAATATAATCATGACTTGATTTTTAATTACTAATTTAGGACAGTAAGGTCTGACTTTGCTTAAACAAAAGTAATCTAAATACTGTACAGTATAGAATATAAAGTCATGGTGCAGTGGAAACAGATTTAATATTGTGTATAACTCCCATTAGCTTTGAGGACTGCATCCATACATCTCTGCAATGACTCAAATAACTTAATAAAGTCATTATGTCTAAGAAAGTGTTCTTGCAGGAATCCCAGAGTTCATCAAGATTCTTTGGATTCATCTTCAATGCGTCTTCCATGTTACCACAGACATGCTCAATAAGGTTCATGTCTGGTGACTGGAGTGGTCAATCCTGGAGCAACTAGACCTTCTTTGCTTTCAGGAACTTTGATGTGGAGGCTGAAGTATGAGAAGGAGCCCTATCCTGCTGGAGAATTTGCCCTCTCCTGTGGTTTGTGATGTAATGGGCAGCACAAATGTCTGATGCTGCCATCCACTCTGCAGATCTCTTAAAACCCAACTTGACTGATTTCTGTGAGAATCTTGGGTCCATGCAGGTTCCAGTAGGTCTTCTGCAGTATTTGTGATGATTGGGATGCAGATCAACAGATGATTCATCAGAAAAATCCCCCTTCTGCCACTTTTTTTAAATGATCAACTAGAAGTGAAATTATTTGTATTGCTCTTATAACTGGGATCAACAACAAGACTTTTGTCAAGTAGTGTGTGTGTGTGTGTGTAGATATATATATATATATATCTCGCAGCAGGACTAAGAAAGTGTATGAAGTGCAAGTTGACCTCAAGTGTGGAAAGCTCCAGAGGCCCGTTGTCCTGACCCACAGTGATAAACTCCAGAGTCACGTGTTTCTTCTCTGTCCTGCGAGAAGACGCCGAGCGGCGGGTGAAGAGCGGGAAAGCTCTAGCAATAGCACACGCTGATGCAAACACCTCAGTGCGCTCGCAAACCATCTGAAAGGAGAAAAACAAACATACAGTATTAGCTAATGCGAAAGATGAAGAAATGCTTCAAGTTCAGCTCGATTAACAGCATTTGTAGCATAATGCTGACAAAAAGATCAAATACCTGCGAATGGTGTATTGAAACTAACATATGATGTGGAGAAAGTCTACTACTGTATGTACTTCCGTCACAAAACATTTGTCTCATTTTGACTCGCTCTTTCTGAACATACCATAAAAGTCTGTCACCTGAGCCAAAATTGGGCATCTTTGGAGACATCTCACAAATATATAAATCACAGGCAGTAACCGTGTATGATATTAGCAAAGAAAAGAATTCTACAGAATTGGAAGTCAAATTGGAAGTTTTTGAAACCTGGATTAGGAGTTTGATTGGATTTTGATTTAATTGATTTATTTTCGAACAGAAATATTGTACATAAAATATCATTAAAAAAAATTCAATTTCAACATGGTCGAATATGGAGTGGGATGAAGCACAAGCTTATTATTTTCCCACCACATTACCACACACATCATTCATCCATTACTTAAACTTGCTTCTTCTTTTACTTATCTCTTCTTTTTACATGAGACATATTCTATCCTTTTGGCTCCTTTGTCATATTGTATGTTTGAATCCATTTGTACTTTTACATTTTGTGACATAGATCTAAAGAAAAACATAGTACTGCAAATAGCCATTAATTAAAATTTCATCATACCTTTCTCATTTTATCCTTTTTCAGTCATCTTCATCATTATATTCCTTAATTAATATTTTTATACAACTTTTTAAATTGATTATTAACCTGACATTGTTTGAGTGTCTGATCTAGACTGTTCCATAGTTTTACTATTTAAGTTGTCCTTGTTTTCAACCTCCTGAAATGTTGTTCTTCCCTCCCCCTTGTCTTTCTTCAAGGAACTTTTGTATGCATTTCGGGAGTAATTTATTCCTAGCTTTAAACATAAATTGTGCTGTTTTAAATATAACCAAATCATTGAACTTGAGTATCTTCAATTTAAAAAAATAATGGATTTGTATGCTCCAAATACCCCATGTTCTAATCAGTCTAATGACTTTTTTCTGCATTGCACATAAGAATCGTAAATTAGATTTATATGTATTCCCTCAAATTTCAACACAATAACTCGTATATGGCAACATGTGTTTTATATATATATATATATATATATATACACACACACATACACAAATATATATATATATATATATATACACACACACACATTTATTGTCTAGAATAAATCTTGCTTTACACACTATTGCTACAGTTTTTACTATTTTTGATATCACATTATTTATTTGCGGTTTCCAACTAATTTTATGATCCAATACAACCAAGAAACTTAATTGCATATACTCTCTGTAGAACTTTATCATCAATTATCAATATCAATATAAATCCTTGTAGTATGCCACAATTTACATTTAGATATGACGATTTATGGTTGCCAATTTTCATGAACTGTAGCCTATTTTTTACTAACTGCTTATCCAGTCCAAGGCTACTCCTCTAATACCATACCTTTCTAATTTATTTACCAATATATTATATATATATTAGTTTAAATTTTATGTTGCCCATGGTAAAATTGAGATGTGTGAACAAAACAAAAATCTTTCAAAATCTGGAATCCAATTAGGCTTTATATCAGCGATGCTGGCTTGTCACTCCTTATAGCCTGGACTAGTTTGGCATACATCAAGTTTTAAAAATATAATTTATTTAATATATTTAATCTTTGTTTTTACTTATGCTTTCTTGATGATATTGTATTATGCGTGTCCGACATTCTGTGTAGTGTGAAATGGCTTTTGTACTCTTTCTGTTCTATTTAAGGGTATTGTTCATTTTCTAATGCTACAAACAATAATTTATATATATATACACACACAAAAAAACAATTATCTTACAATAAAGTTCTTAATATATTTTATTAAATTATTAATATATTTAAGTTATGTGTGTTTAAAGTATATATTGCTGCTTCGTTACAATCTAAAGCACTTTTGTATCTTATGAAGGCGTCTGTGTGTGAAGTAGCAATTAATAACTGGGCCAGTTGGCATTTCTGTATGGAGTTTGCATGTTCTTCCCTTGTTCACGTGGGTTTCCTCCATGTGCTCCGGCTTCCCCCATAGGTGAATTGAATAAACTAAATTGGCTGTAGTGTGTGCGTGTGGATGAGTGTGTATGAATGTTTCCAAGTACTGTGTTGCAGATGGAAGGGCATCCACTGTGCAAAACATATGCTGGATAAGTTTGTGGTTCATTACGCTGTGGCGACCCCTGATGAATAAAAGGACTAAGCTGAAGAAAAATTTATTAACGAATAATAATGAAAATAATAACCAGTAAACTCCAAATTCAGCAAATAAGAATTTCTGTACGCATTAATTGAAATAATTAAAATGTGAATTCTTGTAATTATTTCACAAGATTACCATTAACAAATTAATAAATGCATTTTTGAAATGTGCAATTTCACATTTATTATCAGTTGCCAAACAAAGTATTTCACATTAATCCAGAAACATGCATGAATTAACATTTTATATAAACACATTTGTGTGCTTGTGTGTGTTTATGGTTCATTTTAAATACTTCTGTACAATATTACATGAATCTAATCATTTAAACAATCACATAAGTATATGAGAAGTAGAAATAGGGATTGCATCTGTCAAATGAAAATTATGGTCATGAGAAAAAAAAATAAAAAGAGAAATGAAAATTACCCACTGAAACATTTTCAGTAGTTTCAGTCGGCTGTTTTTGACAGCTTGTGGTTCAGTCTACTTGAACAAAAGAACTTTACATACTTTAAAGTTCTGGTAAAGTGCTTTGAAATGTGCAGCTTTATTTGATGTTTAATTTCAACTGAAACACAAAATGAGGGTGGGACATCGAGTTGCTCATTCCCTTTTAAAAAAACCAGCCAATAGTGTTTTGTTCTATCACCGCTCTGCCAGTGAGAGTGGTTGAGCTCAAGTGCATCAAATGAAAAGCAAATGAGAAGCATCTTGAAGTGGGACGGGGCATGTCAGATACTAGAGAGCATTTGATTGGTTATGATATGAGGAGAAACTATAGTCTAGAGTTGACATGAATAAAACCGTTGATCCATTGAGCTGGAAGTGACAAGCGTTACATGTTTATGTCAGTTTTATATCTTCCAAATGCAAACTGTGTCACTGTTTTGGAGCACACTAGCTCATAGACATCCTAAAAATGAACAATACTGATACTTACATCTACAAAACATTATTTTAATTTCATGGGATCTTTAAGGACATTTTTACAGGAACTTTAATCAATAATGGTGTAAACTGACCACAATGCAGCGGTTGTTGCCGGCAGGCAGGCAGGTTCGGATCAGGCGGGTGAGGAAGTGGGCAGAGGATGGACTGTTGTGGCGACTGACCCGTGAAGGAAGAGCCGCCACCGCTGCATGACTTAGATACAGCGGGCAACTGTCCGTAGGGTTGGGGTTCAGAGAAGACAGAGCGGCTTGCCAGAGCTGAAAACAAACAGAGTACACATTCATTAAAACAGTAGCACCATGCTGTATTACCCGACATCTACAATGAAGAAAAAAACTACAAAAATGACAACATGCAACTACTAGAGGAACACTAAACAGCCCAGGCTAACAGGTCTGTCAGGAAACCGGAAGGTTACGATAAACAGCACTTCCTCACAACTAGACAACATGGGAATTTTGAGCTAAAGTGGGTTTTATATTTGCACATTCGGAATTTCACCTAAATAATATCATTTCGGAAAAGTGTATATACAAATTCTTAATAGGGAAATCACATTAGCAGCCAATGACTATCAAAGTACAGCAATGCTCACGGTCAATAAATCAGAGTATACAGAAATCAGAGAGAGAAATTCAATACCTTTTAAGACTCTTTTCATACATTTTATGACATTATAACCACTTTCATCCGGAAACAATGGAGAAATTTTAACTTGTGCGCGCGCACACACACACACACACACACACACACACACACACACACACACACATATACATGCACACATATAAATATACACTAAATATAAAGGCAAGGCAAGTTTAGTTATACAGCACATTTCATACACAGAGGAAATTCAAAGTGCTTTACATAAACAGGAATAAAATAGACATGTATAAATAAAATAAAAACAAATAATATAAAAAACAGATGAAAACGGCGCAAACTCCAAAACACCGGTGTATCATATTTTCTCATTTTACTCTGGGATTCACCATTCTGATGATCTGGAAGAAATTTATTAACAAAGCACACATCATAGGGCGTCACGGTGGCACAGTGGGTAGCTCAGTCACCTCACAACAAGAAGGTGGTGCGAGCCCCGGCTGGGTCAGTTGGCATTTCTGTGCGTAGTTTGCATGTTCTCCCAGTGTTTGGGTGGGGTGCTCCGGTTTCCCCCACAGTCCAAGACATGAGGTATAAGTGAATTAGGCAAGTCAAATTGTCCGTAGTGTACGTGTGTGAATGAGAGTGTGTGTGTGTTTCCCAGTGATAGGTTGCAGCTGGAAGGGCATCCACTGTGTAAAACATATAGTATGCTGGATAAGTTGGCAGTTCATTCCGCTGTGACGACCCGTCGACCCCTGATTAATAAAGGAACTACGCCAAAAGGAAAATGAATGAGTACACATCCTAATTACCATGATATGGCTACGGTACATCATATTATCTTGAAGAAAACAAAGGTTATAGCATGTTATATTTCAAGAAAACATGAAGCATTGTTGTTTTGTGCCTACTTTGAATTCACATATAAAGTTAAAAGGCCTCATAAAAGTCATTATATCACTATTGATGCATGCTGTGTAAATGCATTCATGTCACCTTTGAGCTGCCTTAGTAGTTTGTATTAATTTTAACGTAAATGTATTGATGACACCTAAACGCCACCTCAAAATTAACGTTATTCCTGTGCTGCTTTCTGACTCGTGATACTGTCCTTATAAAAATTAATTATGGTTTTGATATATTTAACGTGTGACAACCAAAGCAGTTTTTTTAGCAAAATTTCCTCCACTTTACTCGATGTGTAACTACACGTTTTTACTGTAACGTTAACAAAACTATGATTATTTACTTTTTTGCTGTTAATTTTCGCAAGAGTTCGGTTGTGGAAATGTAATGTAACAAATGTCATTAAAAAGCTTTAAAGAGTGTCGTAAAATGATAACTGAAATGTTTCTATTAGTAAAAGCAGATTAACGTCAGTGGTCTGTTACACAACACTAGTCAGCACGGACAGGTTTCACTGTAACTTTAGCAGGTAAGCTAACGTCAATCTGTGTTTACCAGTGGAAATGCTTGATGTTTAACACTGCGTACCTCTTTGGTGACCACTGGCTGTAGTTTTCCCTTCACCTGGGTCCAGTTGGCCTGCTGCAGATTAGCGAGCTGACCGACGATCAGGACCGGCCGGTTTTGCGGCTCCGAGTCCCCGGCTGAAGCCTTGAACTCCAGCAGCACGTTCGCCATCTTCCGCCCGAATGAGACTCTTCTGGAGGAAGACGCACTTTGACCTTCCGCTTCTGCTGCTCCGTCTCGCGAGTGCTTGCAGTTTAGTTAGGGTATGTGATATACAGCCCTAAATCCTTTTGAGGGTCCCTTAAAAATTGAAGGTAGAGTGGAAAACCAAACAAGCTGCGACCGGAAGTTAACGATTGTTTAGATAATTTATTAAATTAGCCATTAGCTGTATTTTAGGAACGTCCACCTCTACATCACCCCAACCCTATATCTAACCATCAAAATAATGTAAAAACAGTAATTACACAGAAAATTACTCGTATTATGTATTAAATTACCCTTTAAATTGTTTTTCATTAACGTCTACTCCTACCCCAAACTCCAACAGTAATGTAAAATCTGAATTATTGTTGTAACAACGTCACAAAATTAAATTATGTTGACGTGAGTATATAAGAAGAAACTGCTGATCTACTGGGATTTTTATGCACAACCATCTCTAGAGTTTACAGAGAATGGTTCGAAAACAAGAACATATCCAGTGAGCGGCAATTCTGTGTAGGAGAATGGCCAGACTGGTTCCAGCTGATAGGAAGGCAACAGTTACTCAAATAACCACTCGTTACAACCGAGTATAACTGAGGCTACAGTTCACACAGTCTCACCAAAATTGGACAATGGAAGATTGGAAAAATGTTGCCTGGTCTGATGAGTCTCGATTTCTGCTGCAACATTTGGATGGTAGGGTCAAAATTTGCCATCAGCAACATAAAAAACATGGATCCATCCAGCCTTGTATCAACGGTTCAGGCTGCTGGTGGTGTAATGATGTGGGGGATATTTTCTTGGCACACTTTGGGCCCATTTGTACCAACTGACCATTGTGTCAACGCCACAGCCTACCTGAGTATTGTTGCTGACCATGTCAATCCCTTTATGACCACAGTGTCCCCATCTTCTGATGGCTACTTCCAGCAGGATAACTCACCATGTCATAAAGCACAAAACATCTCAGACTGGTTTCTTGAATGCAAAAAATAAGTTCACTCTACTCAAATGGCCTCCACAGACACCAGACTTCAATCCAATAGAGCACCTTTGGGATGTGGTGGAACAGGAGATTCACATCATGGATGTGCAGCCGAGAAATCTGCAGCAACTACATGATGACATAACGTCATTGTCTCTGAGGAATATTTCCAGTATCTTGTTGAATCTCTGGCATGAAGGATTTTTTTTTTTAAGGAAAAAGAGGGTCCAACCCAGTACTAGTAAGGTGTACCTAATAAAGTGGCCAGTGAGTGTAGTTTTGTTGTATACGTTTTGACTGTGCTCGTACAGGAAGCATAACATTTTTCATGCAACATTTTTATTTAATTATTTGGTAACTATATTAACCTTTCTTGTTAAAATTTATTTAATGTGTCATTAAACTGAAGAACTGCAGAGAAGGGAAACCCAAGCATAAAATATTGGTAAAAGAAAAACATCACCTTTCGCTAGTGCAGAAAGACAAAACACCAAATCCTCCCTTTATATATATATATTTGTTTTAATTTCATTAAAAACCTGGTCAGCTTTAACAGAAGGGTCAAATAGCATACAGTAGTACCGTAATGGCAGAAAAATATTAGAAATTTCACACTGGATTTCACGCCAAAACCATGAAGAAAACCACATGAAATGGGTTTAAGCCTTGAATGTGCAGTTACACCATCTTCTAAAATAACACAAGAATAAACTCTCTCTGGATTTATAAAATAACATGGTCAACGTCTGCATCATTTTACCCCCGTCATACAGTAGTGGTGCAAACACCCTTCACAAAAACCAACAAGAATTGATTTTTGAGAGGACTGAAAAAATGCAATACACAAAAAACAGAAAAGACAACCTGTAGGCTTTAGACACGGCTACTAACAGACGACAACAGAACTCCATAAACTGTACACATATGTGCAACTAAAATAAATAATTTCATCTTGTACAGGGAACAGTAGTCGTACAGTCAGTCAGCAGAGAGGTGACTGAGCTTCAGTCCGAGAACGACGATCAAAGTTCAGTTTAAAGCTCAGACTGATACGGTAGTGACAACAATAATCAATGAAACATGGACGAGCAAAGCTTTAAAAAAAAAAAAAAAACAACATCCAGGATTAGCGCACAGATGTCCACTCTTTAAGGCAAGGAATAAAGCAAAACTCCTGACTGAAATGATACTGATATCATGACAACACTGCCATTAAATGCAGACACACTGTAACATTCAGTTCATTCAATACCTGCTGTCAGAATCCCAACGCTATACATTTCACCACATAGAAAACAACTGTTAGGAAAAAGACTATGGTTTGAATAGGTGATCCTCAGTCTTTAACTTCCTCAATGGCTTTTTGGAGTGTCAGTGCTTCACTTTCTTTCATGCACACACAGACATACACACATGTGGAAAATCATTCTGTGACATCGTCTTGGGCTCAAATCACACACACATCCTTATAAATAACCACAGTCTGATTGAAAGACAGCTTTCCAATGCAAAATGCAATAGAAAAATGCAAAAATGACACTAACTGAAGCCAAGTATGTTGGAGAATCTGTTGAAAACATGTTAATTGAACAACCTTCAAAGACACATTTATACTAGAGTCTCCGTTGTGCATTTATTTAAATGCCAATTGAACTTAATGCCTACTAATGTCTCGTTAACTTGTCCTAATATGAGTCCAATCAAATTTGTATCATGGTTATACAGTACAAAATACTGTAAAACTGCAACCTTTTTATTATTGCTAAATTTTATAATGCCAATCGAGATGGGAAATGATTAAACATCATTTAAATTGTATATAGGAAATATGAAAATGTACTGTTATGTGCTTGAGTAAAACATCAGCTTTCTTTTATTCTGTAAACTACACTCAGATTATTTCTGCTGCTTGTTTAAATATATTTAAAATCAGCTGAATCAACAATTCGAGTTTTTCTCGAATATGCTTATAGTTTTTTTTTCAATCCATTTAAATTTGTAGAAACGAATAAGCTAATTGATTTGTGTTGGGACAACATGAAGGAACTGTGGAACCCTGCATTTTTTATTTAGAGTACAGATGATATTCCTTGCTTTTTGTTAATTTAGGGTGTTTTCACACTAGCAATTTTGGTCCACACCTGGGGTTGTTTGTCGTGAGAGTATGGCACGTTTAGCTAGTGTGAACGTTGTCTTCTAATCTTGGGTGTGCACCCGTGAACTGTACCTGAGTCCGCCTGATGGTGCTTTCACACTTGATCTGAATGCCTGGTCCAAACCAAAGTTCGATAGTCCCCCCTGGGCTGGTTTACATTCAGTCTTTTTTCCTTCTGAACTCTGGTATGCTTGTGCCATCAAGCTGGAGTTGTGACTATATACAGCTAAGTGATGGCCATGAAAGCAAAGCACCAAAAATGGAGACGTCCGCATATCACTGTTGTTTTGTTTTTACCAAAACCAAAATACAAAGAGAGCGACTTGCATCTATCTGCTGCTGCTGTAAAAAACATGCAGAACATGACGTGATGTCTGCAGAAGTCGTTTTTGGAGGAGACAAGCAGACATTATCACTGTTTGCCCTGGGTCAGTCCTGCTGGTCGCCAAGTTAGGTGATACACAAACAAAAACACACAAGAATGAACATTATAAAAACTAAAGTTTGTAGTACAGTTGGCGGTTCACTTTCGTTATTTGGTACATTTGCATTCACATCAGAAGTGAACTGTACCAGAGTTCGCACAAACCGTACCCCAGACCACCTCTTTCAGGAGGATTCAGGTACGGTTCACGGGTGAGCATCTGAGTTCAGAAGAAAGCGTTCACAATAGCTAAATGTACCATACTCTGACGTCAAAGGATGCGAACCAAAAGCGCTATTGTGGAAGCACCCTGAAAGAGGTGGTCTGGGAAACGGTTCACTTCTGATCAAATAACGGAACTGAACCGCCATCTGTACAACAATCCCTAGTTTTCATAATGTTCATTCTTGTGTGTTTATCTGTGTATCACCTACCTTGGTGACAAGCAAGAGTGATCCAGTGCAAACAGTGATAATGTCTTTGTCTCCACTTCTGCAGAAACTGCGTGATGTTCTCAATGTTTTTAATACTTTTTGCGGCAGATAGATGCAAGTTGCTGTATTTTGGATTTGATAACAAAACCAAATGATTAAGTAAAAGCAAAACGACCGTGATATGCAAACATCCCCATTTGGCGCTTTGCTAGATGCAAACGTACCAGGGTTCATAAGGAAAAACGACGATGTGAACCACAAACTAGCTAAACGATGGCAGATGTTTCCATTTGTTTACAACAACAAATGAAAACATCTGTCATTTTAGCCAATTTCCTGAAAATGAACTTTAAATTTCCTCTAAATGACAATACATCAATATAAAACGTCTATAATAAAGTAAATATTAATGTTTTACTCAAACACATACCTAACAAACCCATACAATCCAACAATTTTCAATTGGTCTTTTCCAGTTAAAATAAATATGTTTATACTTGTTAATCTGATTATATGCATGTTTGAATATGAAACAACATTTCATATGAAACATGACCTGGATATTCTTTTGAAGAGATTTACCCAAGCCAATATGATGATCTTGCAGGAGAGATCTTCTTATCTTCCCTCATCAGCTTCCTGTTTACTCTTCAAATGAGATGACATAAGTGGCTGAGATAAACATGCTGCCGTTTCGCAACCCCTCTCTGAAATGATGTGCTTGTGTTTGGAGGAAAAAAAAGGTCCTCTGAAAGGATCCTGAGGGCTAACACTGCCTCTCGCTGTAGAATTAAACACATGATCATCGATTAAAGACGCTCCACTCAGGGGGCCAGCAGGGGGAGTCCTTACAGGCTTCATCTTGTGGTGTAGCGTTTCAAATAGAAGCACCTTCTGTTTGAGGAATATTCCACACTTAAATAATGGTCTAACATACACACTCGCGCACACAAATACATCCGTTTTCTCATCCATACTG